CCCCAAAACCCCAAAACCCCAAAACCCCAAAACCCCAAAACCCCGATTGGAGAATACTAAATTGAATGTTATTTTTAGAGAGAATTTTTAGTTTATCAACCTTTAAGAAGGTTAATGCAGGTAGTGAGAAGCTCTTAATGCTTGAGACTATTTATTGGCAGTCTAAAGGTTCTCTCTTTCATGTTGAATTAAGGCGAGGGTCTAGATTAGTCATGGCTCTCTTCAGAAGACTTTTCTTCAATTTTATCTAAAACGCTTTCAAGATGCTTTCTAATAATGGCAGTTAGCTTTTCTTGTTTGTCAAGTTTATGTTCTTTACAAAATGCTGCTGCTAGCTCTTCTGGGGTATCATTTTGGTACATTATTATTCTAGTTACATTTCCCTTGCCAAAATTTACATCAAGGAATAGAATTGGGGCTTCAGATCCATTAGTCTGATACAATTCGGTCTTAGTAGGTTTTGGAGGAGATTCTGAAGGTATTTTCAAAGGATTAGGCTCAGCTAATGAAGCTGTTGTATTTCCAAAAGTTTGATAATCTTGTTCTCTCCCTAAACTTATATGATCTTGGTCTTTATTATTTGGCTTTTCTTCTGAGGTCTGAGAAGATCATGTCAGAAATATTCCTTCATCTTTATATTTCGAAGCTGCGTCAGTAAATAGCAACACATCATCTGAGTTTTGGTTAGGAGAGTTTTCCCTAGATCCTAACTCTTCTTGAAAGTCGGTGTCATAATTAATCTTGAGGGGTTCATCTATTGATAACAGGCAGACTTACTTTTAGGGTTATATACTTTGCTTTTAACTCTTGAGTTTTTGGCCAAGTTAGTGGTTGGGACGAAGGTGCATCCTTCAACTTCCTTGATGATTTTCTCTTTATTTCAGCTTCTCTATTTTATCCTTATAACCTCTTCCTTTCTGGAGCAATGCTTCAGCATGAGCGAGAGCGTTTTCCTTGTCGTAGGAGGTATTCCTTCGAGATTTTGATCGTGATTTGTCATTTATCTTTGGGTGAAAGCTATATTTCTCAGCTTTTTCTTTTTCATAGTCTGCTGAGGTTCCTCCAAAATATGCACATGGGGCACTAAGCTTTCAGTTATCCAGGAATATCTTGTAGAGACTCGTAACTTCTCGAATTTCGTTGAGAGAATTGAAGTGAAAATTCTGATTATTTGCTAAGAATTCCGTATGGTTGCATCTTCTCAACTGTTTGTTCATGATCGTATTGGATGTTGATGGAATCGTCCTCTTCAGCCATCTTAGTGCATTCTTTTAATGTGCTGTATTGTTCTTCATTGGCTCCGTAGAACACAAACTTTTCCTTGGTGGGTATCCCATGGATTGCGAGGAGAAATGCAAATAGATTTTTGATGTAGAGAGTAGTATTATCAGAGTTATTGATGCTTTGGAACATGTTGTCTAGCAATAGTTTTTCATATTCTGTGATGTTATCACAAATATATCCCATAGTGTAAAATATTTTAATCATTTCATGGTAACTAATTGCCCTATTGACTGTGACTCCTTTCTTGCGGCAAGATTCGTTAAGTCGTTTTAGAATATTATTGATAAGGAATTTGTTCGCATTTCTATCTTGACTTCTGTGCTTTGAATTAGCTCTTTTACGACTATTGGAGATTTCTGAATCAACTCTGCTCCGATGCCTCTCTTTTCTTTGTTGAGCATCCTTGTATAGCATATTTCATACATCTTGATCTCTGAGTAGCTTCTTAGATTTTGAATTAATTTTAGGTTGAAAACTTAGATTAGCTAGATTTGGATCCTCTACCTTCCTTCAAGAAGGGCTTTTAGAACTTCTTTTGACGTGTAGGGGATGCTTACTTCGTCTAAGCTTGGAGCAAGGGTCAACACTCTTTCTTTTCTTAGGCTTATTCTTGTAGTCTTGGAGCTCCTTCTTCAGTCTTTCTATTTCTTCATCTTTCTGTTTGAGCTTCTCTTGGGCTAACCTCTCATGTAAATTGGTAGTTTTAGAGCACTCTTTGTAGGTAGAAACCGATGATTTTTTAAAGCCAATGTGAGTTCTAGAGGAAGTTTTAGCTATTTTCTTGGGCTGGAAGGTCAGTTCCTTCTCTTCTTTCTCCCTAAAGATCAGAGATAGAGCTTACTTGTTCTTGTTGGCTACTTTGAGGATGAACTCTCTCTGCTTCCCTCATTTCTGTTTGTGGAGCCTGTCGTGGATGCTCTCATTAGTTCTGGAATCCTTATGGAAGTTCCTTGAAGACTTTGATTTAATCATCTGTGGTCTGAAATTACTATTAATCCGTTCGATGATTTGCTTGTAGTTTTTGGAAGATTTTGAGGTGTTTCTTTCCTTTGATTTTTGATGCTCTCTTTTGCCTCTCTGTACATAATTTGAGGTGTTTTGTTTATTCCGCAATTGACTTGGCTGTTTGCTACATTTCGCCTATTTTGAATGATTTAAAAATAACTACTTGTTTGGAGAAAGCGGTAAAGTTGCTCTGCTGCATATTTTGAAATGGCTTAGCTGGAATCCTTGATCGTCTACTTGATTTGCTGTTTCCTCTTCCTGGATAAGAGTCTTTGAGAAGGTACTCTATGATTTCTCTCTTTTTTATTTCTTCTAAAGATAAATCTATAAGTGAGGATTGAAAATATTCAAATGAGAAGATTGATTGAATTACCTTGAAGTTGGGTGTCAGAGATTTCCTCGTCTATGTAATATTCATCTTCTTCAACAAGTTCGTCATCAAGAAATTCAACTGGCTTATCAATAAGTTCCTCAAGCTCCTCTTTCTGTTGGTTCATTATGAATTTTGTATGTCGAAATGGATTATAGCTACTTTTTCCCTCGACTGATTTGGTAGTTTGAGGATCTGGGAGGAAATTATAAACTGAAGAAGCATTTGTGGAGTGCTTGGCATTACATTTGCTTCGCTTTGAGGCATGCACTGGGAGGATAGCTTTCTTTCCGGTAAAATGGGCTTTCAAATCGCCAACCTTATGTCATTCTTCAGTCTTCCACTCATCAAAATCATCATCAAACTCCATTGTATCAGCCGAGAAAAGTTTTTCATCATCAGGAGAGACCTTATTGATCTGATGCGTATTTGCTCTTCGCATAACGTCTTTATTTCTGCTTCTCATATTTACTGAATAAATTATTTAGAATTTTAAAGGGGTTTTGGGGTTTTGGGGTTTTGGGGTTTTGGGGTTTTGGGGTT